TAAACTTTATTCAAATAGTCATAAAAATTATTTTACCATAACAATGAATTTTGGATAACTGAAAATAAGGTTTTTCGTTACCATTAACAAGCTATTCATCAAGTTACACATCCAACTACAAAATTAACAAGCAATCTTATATCATATACTGTATGGGGTTTAGTGATTTTGATGTATGGTTAAAACTATAGTGTAGGGATATTGTAATTTATAGCTATTCGTATTATTAACTTGTTCATTAATTATGTTAGCCATCCAAAAAATGTGTTAACTATCTAAAAAAAATTAGCCATCTAAAAAATGTGATTACTATCTAGAAGGATAATTGAACATATGATGAATGATTTATATTTCTTCTCTATATACCAGGCTTTAGGTTTAAGGAAATTGCTTATACGATTTAGTGTATTGTATTATAGTGTCAAGGGTTTCGATCAATGGTGTATAGTCTAAGGTGTTGTTGTTGGGTTTAAAGCTTATGGTATTGATTTAGGGCTTATGTCTTAGTTCATTTTGTTTAGGGTTGGTTTATGATGTGGTGAGAGTTTATGATTTTGTCTTTAGGGTTTAACTTTATGACTGATTAGAATTTAAAATTTAGGATTTAGGATTTTAGTTAAGGCTTAGGGTTAATGATTTGGTTAGTGTTTAGGGTTCATCATTTGGTTAGGGTTTATGATTTGATTAGGGTTTAGGGTTCAAGGCATTGGATTTATTGTTTGGGTTAAACGTTTATTGTTAAGGGTTTCAAATGTAGTATTTTTTGGTGTGGTTATTTAAATCCTTATACCAACACACTTATTCCCAATCCACCCCTACACCTCCACGTAAGTGTAAGCAAATTATCTACAAAACTAATTTCTTACACAGTTATGTATCTTGTTAACCGGATAACTTGTTTGTTCACCCTAAACGATAATGTATTTAAGTTCATCTTAGCCGGATATTGTTAGATTTACTCGTCGGTTGTAAATATTGACCGGTCAAAGAGTTTGACTCCATATTGCTATATTGGCCGGCTAATATTTATGGCCTTGTCATAACTTAGACAATAAGTCCAAATGAATATCAGTGTTGGAAATGCCATAAAAAACTCAATTTTAAGATTAAACATCAGAATCAACAAAATCAAGTGAATATATATATATATATGTTCTTTAAAAAGAGATCCAGAGAATTCGTGGAGACATGATATCACCATAAAAAGAATAAAAAAAAGCTGAGGAGAAAGAAAGAGTAATAAGAAAAAGAATAAAAAAAATCTCAAGCAAATCTTTTGTTGGATTTGGTTACAGCTAGATATATCCATCTAAATAACTTTTGTCAGTAAAATTTTTTTAGGAGTCTATTACCTAGAAGCTGAGTAGTAACGCGTCCGGGGTATTACCGTTTTATTTGTTATTCTCTGTCATTTATGGTTATTTTTTCCTCTTTTGGCATTCTCTTAATTTTGTGATCTTTCTATGTTTTTCACCTAAATTACTCATACATTTATAAGATTAGAGTACTTTTACAGTAAATATTAAATTATATATGTATATATATATATATTTATATTTAAAAATTATATATTAAATATTTAAAAAGACATATTTGTTAATATCACTTTTTATAAAATAAATGGAGATTCACAATAAGGTTTCACAGTCCCATAATGTAATCCATCATAAGTCACAAGCAATTCTTTAACAAAAAGAGAAAAATATGTAACGGGCAATATACCATAAGAATAACAATTCACTGAAACTTGTACCAACTATAAGAGTGAAAATATTATAAAGTTTAGACTGTCTTTTTTGCACTTGCCATGATCTTATAAGAGTATGAAAATCTTATAAAGTTTAGACTGTCTTTTTTGCAATTGCCATGATCTTATAAGTAAGTCTAGGGACAAATGTTTGATACCCGATTTGTACTCGCTATTTGACTCGGTTCGATTTGAAAAAATAAGTATTTGATACTATCAAGTCGAATAACAAGTAAACATATTTTATTACTTGTACTTGCAAGTAACGCGTCCGGGGTATTACCGTTTTATTTGTTATTCTCTGTCACTTATGGTTATTTTTTCATCTTTTGGCATTCTCTTAATTTTGTGATTTTTCTATGTTTTTCACCTAAATTACTCATATATTTATAAGATTAGAGTACTTTTACAGTAAATATTAAATTATATATATATTTATTTATTTAAAAATTATATATTAAATTTTTAAAAAGACATATTTTTTAATATCACTTTTTTATAAAATAAATGGAGATTCACAATAAGGTTTCACAGTCCCATAATGTAATCCATCATAAGTCACAAGCAATTCTTTAACAAAAAGAGAAAAATATGTAACAGGCAATATACCATAAGAATAACAATTCACTGAAACTTGTACCAACTATAAGAGTGAAAATCTTATAAAGTTTAGACTGTCCTTTTTGCACTTGCCATGATCTTATAAGAGTATGAAAATCTTATAAAGTTTAGACTGTCATTTTTGCAATTGCCATGATGTTATAAGTAAGGTTAGGGAAAAATGTTTGATACCCGGTTTGTACTCGCTATTTGACTCGGTTCAATTTGAAAAATAAGTATTTGATACAATCAAGTCGAATAACAAGCAATCATATTTTATTACTTGGAAGTACAAGTCAAGTATTAAGTTCTTTTTTATTTTTAACTACTTGGCTTGTTATTTGGTTTGTTACTTGTTATCATATACTTATCACATTATTTGTTATATATTATTTAATTTATTAAATACTTAATATTCATTTTATTAATTAATTAAAATTTATGCATTACATTTTATTGGCGACTACAATTACTTACTATTTACATCTCATCCGCTATTTGATAGGTACATAATCTTCAAAGATTAGTATTTGTCTGACCAAATTAAGTATTAAGTAATATATTTAAACTATTTGTAAGTACAAAATACATATTAATATTAAATAAAATTAATTATTTGATGTTGTTTTGTTTGTTATTTGTATTTGTTAATGAACAAATATATATTTTCCTAAATCATTGTAAAATAGCCCATTTCTATTTCCATTTTCATAAGTACATCAAACATAAATGCTATATTTATATAACTCTTGATTTATTTTTTATTTTTATATAGTCAATTTTCCGAATGACTTAAATACAAAAAAAACATTAACATTTTATTTATATAATAAATTTATTTAATTTTAAATTCTAATGATTTATCAAATAATTTACCAATAATTATGAATGAATTTGTAAATAATATACAAATAACAAGTAATAAAACAAGGCAAGTAACTTATAAATCCATCAATGTTTTTGCAAATACTTGAAACTGCAAGTACTCGTTTTTAAAAAATCAAGTACAAGTCGAAATATTTACTATTCGTACAAGATAAACCGAATACTAAGTATATCAAAAATACCGAGTACTCGGCTGGTGCCCACCCCTACTTATAAGAGTATGAAAATCTTATAAAGTTTTGACTGTCTTTTTTGCTCATGCCATGATCTTATTTGTATTCCTTAAGCTCATCCTGTATGGCTTCTTTTTTGTTTTACACATGGTGCATCTACTAACTTAAATTATCATGTATAAGACCATCTCCAACAATGTATCCAAGCCACTTCTAAGACAGTATCCATCTGATTTATAGGGTTTTAACACAATCAAAACATGAAAATAGTTAGAGTTGTCTCTAAATGTAGAGGTTTCTAGAGACATATCCAAAGACACGTGTCATTGTATAAGTGGTTGAGTGTTTTAAAGAATGGAAGAAAAAAAATTTGGACCGACTTCTTTTCTCTGTTTCGCGGATTTATTTTTGGTTCTCTCTCTCTCTTGGGTTTGCGATTCAGACGGCGAATTGATTCATGAAACCGCCGGTTGTATATCGAATCCGTCGCGTGTCGAGCCTAGAATCCAACACCAGAAGCATCCTTTCCATTGTCGGATTCATCAATGAAGAAATTGGTGGAATCTGAGGCTTGACTGTTTCAGATTTCTGACTTGAAATCGAAGAGATTTCGAAGCAAGAAGCTTCTTCATTCTTCTCTAGGTATGATTCGAGGTTTATAATGTGTAGATTCGTCTATTTAATCTGTTGAATCTAGAATAGGGTATTTTGATTTTAGGGTTCATAAGATTGTAAATTAGGATTCTTGGTTTAAATGCAAAATTAGGGTTATTAGCATCAATAATTAGGATATTTATTTGTTATTAGCTATTATCAACATCATTCTTCTCAGGTTTTGTTGATACTTGAATCCGATTTGCATTCTATGATCTCTTGTTGTGTTTTATAGCTATCTGATTTTGCTTAAGTCTCCATTAAAATCGTGTTCTTGATCATGTCTATATTTTTTTTTTGTGTTTATGGTTGTTGAGGATGGAGCTTATGGAGATGCTAGAAGTCTGTGAGGAGAAAACTACTACGAAAGCTAAATTTCAGCCTTTCAAAGTAATTTACTGGGGCTGCTTCTTTAAATTCTTCTAGGACTAGTTGGTTGTTGGTTGTTAAGTCTTCAATGCTTGGTAGAGTCTAGCTTTTGTTTGTAGTTATATTTAAGTATGGCTGTCTAATTAAATGTATTAACCTAATGTGATCAATGCTTGTGGAGAAGTTGCAAGTCATGTTTGAGATAATGAAGCAGGATGATGAAATGAAGAAGTAAGACTTTGAAATGAAGGAGAAGCTTAATAAGCATCTCAAAACCGATAGAGAAGGTTGGATTGCTTCACAAGGGACACATCTCTCCAAGTAATTTTTTATCACAAATCCATTTTCAAATTTAGATTAGATACTTCTGGTTCTACCATTGGAGGTATTAAAGCACCACAAGTATCTACATTTTTTAATCTGATTATTTTTACTTAAATATCGATTTAGAAGTCTAATGGGTGATCTATGGTTGGAGATGGTCTAATAATCTTAATTTACCATAAATTATTCTAATTCTGTAACTACATTTCATTTTCTCTCTTGTCAATCATTCTTTCTTAATACTTTAGTTGACTATTAAACTTCATCCCATTTTTCCACTAACAATGATTATTACGATCTTAAAGATAACTGAATACACAATCATTTTTTTTTCTGAACACAATCTGAATACACAATCTTTTTAAAGAAATAAATAAGCACATGGACCGACGACGGATCTATCATCTATCAGCCACCTCCGCTGCAAATACCGGTCAAGGAAACCGGGAACCTACAAAGTGCTGTAGCCACCGGTGTACTTTCTCCGGCAGCTGAAGCCGGAGGAAGAACCCTCCCGTCGGCAAACAACGCCCGTTCCACCAACGCCGGCTGCTGTTCCCTAAAACGCGCCACCGCACCCTCTAGCTCCGCCTCAGCAGAGCCATAGACGCCTTCATCTCCAAACCTCCGTTCAACCTCCAAATACTCCCCGAGAGACGAACGTCTACTACAATCTCCGGCCCCACGTTGCAACCCGTTTCCGGGGCCATCGTCGTCGTCTCGGCAAAAGGGCCACCACTTTCGGCGCCGTTGCCGCTCAGATGAGTTTGAAGGAGGACGTTTCCTCTGGTTGCGACTTGTTGCGTCGGAGGTGGTGACGGAGGGAGACACGTGGCGTTGGGATGAAGCTCTGAATGGGATCATGGGCATGGTTGTTGTGAAGCTAAGTCCCATAAGAGTTCCAAGTGTGATGCTTCTGTCATGGAAGAAAGATCCTGTAGACTATTATCCTCATCACCAATAAAAAAAACATCAATCAAGAACACAAACATACGTTTCCTTGCTGTTCTTAAGACACAACCATTAGAAGTTACTTAAGTTTTGTAATAAAAAAAGAAAACTTTGATTTTTGGTAGCTTGGAAATTACAAAGAAAGTCTTGGGCAGAGGAAGCTGAATCTATTTGACTAATCAAAAATTAAATTTAGGAATTAGGATTATAGAAACTGACCTCTGTATCAAGATCGGAGGAAGAGACGGAGGAGATGGTGGGAGAAGGTGGAACCTGATTGCGTGGATCTTGCATTTTCTGTGTTAATCGCCGGTCGATGATGTCGGATACTCGGAGTTTGTAATGAGAGGAAAAAAGGAAAGTAGCGTTTGCTTTTCGTTTGTATGATAGGTGAGGAGGAGGAGAAAGTGACAAATGATTTGTTTTTGAAATGATTCTTATTTTAAGCTAAAAAAAAACTCTTTGCCATCTGTTTACTACTACTCGATATTGCCTGAGCTTTGATATGTGTATATATTTAATTATTTTTAGATGGGAAAGCCAATGTTATTTGGGACATTTTTGTGTTGGTCAAATTTGGAGTATATGCAAACAAATTGAAACTTGCGACGAAATTACAAAATGACGTTTTTTTAAAAAAATTTGTCAACCTGAATGAAGTTATTATAAGTCGTATTTTATTCATAGGATACTTTTGTTGGTCAAATATTTTGCAAACAAATTGAAACTTACGAAGAAATTACAAAAATTAAATGAACTCTTTATAGGTTGTAGTATCTTTTATCATAGGATTCCTGAAAAAGGTTACAGCTAAGGTCTAATCTCACGCGAAGAAGCAGTTTTGATCGTACGTACATGTAGCCTTGTTACAAAAAGAAAAAAAAAACATTATTCTTGTCGAAAATTATAAGCCAGCTAATGCAAAATTCCATATATATAGTGTTTGGATATTAGTCGACTAATTAAGTTTTACTCTCTTTTTGTCTGGTAGTTTCAGATTATAATTTTGTTTTTAGAATGTTACAAAAAAAAAAATTATGTTTCTACGGTTGTCACAATATAAATGTGAAATATGTTTCTACGGTTGTCATAATGTATATGTATAAATTAACATTTGATCATTTGTTTCATATTCATCGAACAAGACGATACACCAAAATTGACATCACTATAAGATTTCACCTACAAAAAACTTTGAATAATATTGAGCGGATGGAAAGTTAGAATTTTTTATCTCTCTAATTAATATCGATTTGAATTGGAAAATTCATATCTTTCTGGTTTATGTAAATTCTATAAATTAGGCATAAATTAAGCAAAATAATTTGAAATATCAAACCAATTAATAATATTTTCTGGAGACAATGTAGATTGTTTGTATCAAACGGTTAAAACATGTGTATGCACTAAAAATCAAACCATGAAACATATTCTTTATATTATTATGTTGGGGTTTCCAACATTATATGAAAAGAAAAAATATTTTTTTAGCTGAGATACAAATAATATAATATATGTTAATGTCAATGCAATATGAAACTATATAATTAATAAAAACAATTTTCAAATCCATATTTATATAAAAGATAAGCAAAATAATAAATAACTTACAAAAATGGCTTCGAAATAGATTAATTTATATAATTTACATCAAATCTTCTGTTTGTCACCATTTATAGATGATTTTCGACTTGAGGAGTCAATCTCGATCTCATTAGGACTGACCGGTTTAAGTTGAATAAAATCTGTGTAATTTGTGTGTTTCCGTTTTTAATGTCAATCACCAAAATTCTGGTTGACATTTTCCATTATTGGTAATGTTTGATGTCACGTTTGTACATTTATAAAGAGGAGAACGTGTATGTATAGGTTAACCAAGACAATTACCTTAATCAGATTAGGAAGTCGGATTCCAATAAAAAATTTGACATATAATTGCATATTTAATTACGTGGAAATTACTCAAAGCTTAAGAGCATTGCATATATAAATAGGAAACATTATAGCAACATGTAGTCACAATTGTTTCTTTCTCAAAATTACTAAATCACTACATTCAAACCCTTACTATATCATGGCATTTTTGTTAATTTATTTTAAATCATTCTTTATTTTATATTAGATTTTACTTATTCTTATGGCTCTTTTTGACTCTCCTCCATGGCCTATATCACAAATAAACTAATACACTAACAAGTTTTTTTTTTTAAAACAAAAAAACCAGGCCTAATTTGTTAGTTAAACAGTGAAATTTAGTCACAAATTTAATTTTACAATATTTTCCATTTTTTTCTATGCACTGGAATTTTATAATATATATTATTTCAAATTAAAAATCTTTTTAAATCTCCTTAATCCGCCAGAACGCGGATTAGCATCTAATTGTAAATAGTTAAGAAAACACAGGGATATTTTATAACTGTACTTCTATTTTAATAATAAAGATTTGTATTGTTGTGTCTTTTCTTTTATGAAGTTTGTAAGAATATATATTTCATTATATTTCAATGATAATCGTTATATTTCAATGATAATCAGTGGGTTCACTGTCATCGTTTTTTCCATCTTATTTTTTTGAGGAAAAATGCTTACCATTTTTCTCTGAATTGAGAAGATATTTTAGACTCATGTTGCTGAACTTTGCTTTTAGTCAATTCGATGTTATGTTATTAGGCATAACCATGTCAGCCGGACCTGAAAATCTAAACTAGAATCGATCAACCTAAATCAGTTAGGACTGTGTACATTTAATACCATTTTACTCTACTGAGTCTTATTGTGTAGTATCTGCGGGTTTTTGATCCCACCCAATTCTAAGACCTGATGGTGTACTCAAAATTTCTAAGTTATATTATATATATATATATATATATATATATATATGGATATTTCAGTATGCTTTTGGTATAACATATATTTTTTAAACTTCAGGTTTGATTTTCTGGTATAGTTTTGGGTTTAGGATACAATTTTATATTTTCAAAAAATACAATTTTAGTAATCAGATAAAATTTTAGGTATTTCGTGTCTTCGCATCAAATTTTAAATAAAATTTCAAATATTTTTGGTATTTTTTAGATTTTGGTTTTCGGGTCTTAACTACCCGAAACCTTTAGGAACCAATAATTAGTAGATATTAGTGGTTCATAGATAACTAAATTCGAACCAATCTGGATTTGATAGGATCTGAACCGACAATTTAAGTTACTCTATGATAAAATCTAAGATTGGAAAACTGGCTAATTAGACCATATTCAAAACTAGTGTGTCTCAATATACCTTTGATCCTATATTTTTATTTTATTAAACATTTCTTAATTTTTAATACGGAATTAATCCTCTAATCTTTTTATATAATAGAGAAATTAAGATTAAAAGTAATTAAATATATTTAAAGTATATACAAGCTTATCTATTAATAAGATAACATAATTATGTTTTTTTTTTGTTTATTGAGTTCTTATTTAAGAAAAAAATAGCCCTATAAACTAATTTTTAATTATTAATTTATGTTTTTCTCTAAAACTTTTAATTACGTTTTCCCCAAATTTTTTTAAAAATAATTTATCTCACTAAAACTATAAAATTATGCTTTCCCATCAAAAATTTTAAAATAGTTTTTTCCGCTAAAAAGGAAAAATATACTTTTTCACAAAAAAACATGAAAATCACATTTTCCGCTAAAACTGGAAATTACATTTTTTCGTCAAAACTAGATAATTACGTTTTCCACCGAAACCAAGAAATTATGTTTTTCTATTAAAACCAAAATTTACGTTTTCTTGTCAAATTTGCGAAGTATGTTTTCCCGCCAAAACCGTAACATTACGTTTCTCAAAAAATTGTGAAATTGTGTTTTTTCGTCAAAATAGTAAAATTACATTTTTTGCCAAAAATGTGAAATTGTGTTTGTTCCGCCAAAATCGTAAAATTATATTTTCTTGTCAAAACCGTAAAGTTATGTTTTCCCGCCAAAATCTTGAAATTATATTTTCACGTTAAACTTGTGAAATTATGTTGTCCCACCAAAAAGTTTAATTGCCTATCAAAACAGTTAAACTACATTTTCACACTAAAACTGTGAAATTATTTTTTCATCCAAAAGTACAAAATTATGTTTTCTGCCAAAATCGTGAAATCTTGATTTTCTGCTAAAACCGTGTTTCCTCGCTAAAATTATTTTTTAAAGATTTTTCTACAATGAAATAATAAACTTACAATATATATATTGTATTTTATAAATAACGAAGAGCGTTGGTTAGAAATGAAGTACACACATTCTATATTTAGATAAATCATAGAGAAGAATTTAAAATACGGATTTCAATTTTTCTAAAATATTGAAAATAATGTAGAACATATATTTTATTTTTGTAAAAACGATTACGGAAAATTTCATAGAAATAACCCAACTAAATTTCATTAAGTTTTTTTTAATATCCAAACTTTTTCGCTACCTAGTTTAATACCCCAACTAATTATTTTACTCATTTTAATACATATTTTTTTTATAACTGTGCCCATTTTAATACCTAAAGTTTGTTTATTATAATTAAAAATACTATAAATTTCAAACGAAATGTAAATAACCTTCAAAATCTAGAAAAAAATATATTTAAATTTCTAATTTTACTTAAGATTTAAGAAAGAAGGTAAATAAACTCTAGAGGAAACTTCAAAGTTTAAAAATTTATTTTTAAAATAAAAAATTAATTTATATTTTATTGCAGAAAACAAACTAAATTCAATATTTAAAACTTAAAAAAAAATTCTTACAAAATTGAAGATTATACAAAATTTATTTATTTTTATTTCTCAAAGAAAAAAAAATTAGAATTTTCTGTTAAGTTTAGAGATATTTAAATTTCATTTAAAATTTATTAGCATCTTAATGAAAAATAAAAAAAATTTAGATATTAAAATGGGTACAGTTATAAATATCTTATATATTAAAACAGAAGTCATGACTTGACTTCACGTGTGATTTTTTTAAAATAGACTATTTTTAGAAAGTCATGTTACATAACTCCTTAATAATCTTATCATTATTATACCTTATGAAAAATGATATCTATAATAACAAAGATACGCTTAACAATTTGGTTTTGGTAAATTACCCCCACACATTCCAACTTAGTCACGCAAAATATGTCAATAGATATAAGTTTAGGAATCTTCTATTATCTATAAGGAAATATGTCAATAATAGTTAAATGCATCCACAATATATTACCAAAAATCACTGATTCGTAATATGGAATATTTATATAGCCTAACAAAATTTACACGCTATATATATTAGATAAATTTATTTCGATGTAAATTTTTGAAATTATATTGTTTAAAAAAAAGAAATTGTTTAAAAAATTCTTTTTTAATAAATTTTTTTAGAATATTAATTTATGAAGCTATAAGTTTAGTTTTTAGCAAAAAAAATTTCGAAGTTTATATTAACTTTGCAAATTAAAGTATACTAATATTTAATCAAGCTCTATTTATATTACTTTATCTAAAAATGAAATACCAATCTAGCAAACAATAAAATATAGAAGAAGAAACAAACACATGTTTGAAAAACATGCATAATATAAAAAATTTGAAACAATCTATTTGATTAAAACACGTATTAAATAGTATTATTATATTTGAAAAACATTTACTATATATATCATAAATATGTGATTACAATAATATAAACCAAAATTTACAAGTGAAAACAAAATGTTTATATAACTAACAATAAATGAAAACAAACACCCGCGCGGTTGCGCGGGTCAAAATCTAGTTTGTGTATTAAAGTGGGAAATATAATTCATTTGGATATTAAACTGGTAGAAAAATTATTTTGGATATTTAAAAGCTTGATAAAATTTAGTTGAAATATTTATGGAATTTTGCCAAAAGATTATAATATACATTTTAACAAATCTAAATCAACATATCCAAATTGTTGTTGGAATTGAACTTTTTACATCAAAACATGTAAAATATATTCATGACTATATTGATTTTTTTCATATTTTCTGATTTCTGTATAATGTTTGATAATTATTTTCCTTCCAAAACTAATTAATTAATGCAAATATATAAAAGGACAAAAACATTCTCATTAGGGTCTATTTTCCCAATCCCCTATATATTATTTGCAAAGTGATTTTGCCACATGTCCTCTCTACAATCAGTTTCACAAAAAAATGATGACATGTCTACTAGAATTGATGACATGACATATGATTAAATATGACATGGACAATTGCTTTTAATGTTAATATATATTTTTGGAAAATTTTATAAAATATGGTAACAACTCATATATTAGATTTGATGTCGATTTATATTTTTGGAACTATTTTTAAAATATGGTAATAACTCATAAATCATCATTAAAATAAATCTATTCAAATATGGCATTATAAATTTCGAAAATATCATTTAATTATATATTTTAAAATTATATAATTTTTTACAAACTTTTCAAAAATGTATACCTTTTTTGAAAATTATTAAAATTTAATCGTAAAATTATTAATTTCTTATATATTTACAAATTTAATATATATTGTCTAATTTTAATTTTTGATAATTATAAAATTTTCTACAAATTTATTTAATATATTTAATTAAAATAAATAGAAAAAAATCTATCTAAGATTATAATTTTAAATATATACATGCATTTTCTTAAATATAATTTAAAATAAACAAATAATATTTTCTATCATTTTTATGTTTAATTTAAAAAAAATTGTATTAAAATAGTGATAAGAAAAAGAAAATTTATAATATTAATAAATTTTAATTTTAAACATAATTTGGAAAACTTTATAAAATATAGTAACAACTCATATATTAGATTTGATGTCGATTTATATTTTTGGAAATATTTTCAAAATATGGTAATAACTCATAAATCATCATTAAAATAAATATATTCAAATATGGCATTGTAAATTGCGAAAATATCATTTAATTATATATTTTAAAATTATACAATTTTATTACAAACTTTTCAAAAATGTATACCTTTTTTGAAAATTATTAAAATATAATCATATAATTATTAATTTCTTATATATTTACAAATTTAATAAATATTGTCTAATTTTAATTTTTGATAATTATAAATTTTTCTACAAATTTATTTAATATATTTAATTAAAATAAATAGATAAAAAATCTATCTAAGATTATAATTTTAAATATATACATGCATATTCATAAATATAATTTAAAATAAACAAAAAAAATTTCTATTATTTTTATGTTTAATTAAAAAAAATTTGTATTAAAATAGTGATAAGAAAAAGATAATTTATAATATTAATAAAATTTTAATATTAAATGTAATTTATATTGTATTTGTTAAGAAAATATTTTAAATCTTTTTACTGCACATGGTGCAGGAGAACAGCTAGTTTCACCTATAAAAGCCTCTTCATCCATTATCACGTCCTCTGCTAGGTAATAATAGGCACGATAGTTAGACAAGGTAAAACAAGGAAGAACCAATTAATAAATGTTTATTTTCTGAAAAGTTCTTTAACGTTCCAAAAAAGGAAAATAAGTTTATTTTCTTTAAAAATTACTTTCGCTTTGGTTCTTTTTATAATCACATGCAATTGATCATCTGCCCTCTCACAACCCCTAGTTTTCAGAATTGAATTCTGCTTTGAAGATAAGAAGGTTGACGGAGAGTAAGATGCAAGAAAATCTGAGCAAGTCTGGCTTCTCCAAGTCTCTGTCTCGAGGGAAAAAGTGGAAATCTAAATCCATGGTACAGCTCTGATCTCCACTCTCTGTTTCATTGAATTTATTTTTGTTACCGAGATGACTTTATAACTAGTTTAGCTTAAACCGTTTTGCTCTGTCCGACTTCTTGCTTTGAATGTTGTTTATACAAATGTAAAACGTGATCATTGGCTTTTTAGTTCATGCTTCTGCTGGTGTTTGTTTTAGCTACAAACCAAGCTTGCATGCAAGTTAAATTATACTTTGTTTAGTCAACTTTGTTCTGATTTGTTGGTTTCTTAAAGAGGATTATTCCGGAAGAGTTCTTGAGAAGCACCTGTGAGTCTTTTGAGCACAGAGTGGTGCTTAGTGTTCCTTGGAACAATTCTTGGCAACTCTGGCTCCAACAAGACAAGAAAGGTCTGTCTATGATCAAAGAAGACTGGAATGAGTTTGTGGATGACAATCTTTTAGGTCCAGATGATACCTTGGTCTTCACACACCAAGACACTATGTATTTCCAAGTGCGAATCTTCAAGAAAGATGGGAAAGAGATCATCTCTGCACCTCTTAGAGTTGAACCCGAAACTAAACCATTTTCTCCTAAGCCTCACCTGGAGACAACCCCTGCTTCTACCTCTGGTAAGACCATATAAATAGTCTTTAAAATCAAAAACTATTTTTTTCTAACTGTTTTTTTTTTGTATTGGCTGCTGAACTCTTAGCAAGTGGAAGAACAACTACTCGAGGGAGAAAGAATCCTGCTAATGTGCAAAACCCTGAGCGATACCTCTTAAACCCCCAAAACCCTTATTTTGCGAAGACACTGACCAAGACGAACCATATGCTGGTAATAGTTGTAACATTTTGAGTTTCTTTGCAGCTTTAGGGGTTGATCTAGTCATAAAATTTACAGTTTATTTGTTGCATTTGAAACTAATATTTTTATTCATATTTGTGCAAGTAGATTGTAGGCCCTCGGGTGATTAGGGAGTATGGCTTGGAGTTTGGTCCCCATAACTCCCCTATTGACTTCTTTCTTCCCGATGGAAATAAAATGGATGGCGTCACCAGGTGTTACCGCGATTTAATTGGTTTTGTTGGCTGGGTGGATGTATGTCAACAGTACAACCTTAAAATAGGAGACACTGTTGTTTGTGAATTTGAACTCTCAGGACGTGTGGTTAAGGCTGTTAGAGTGCATTTCGTCAATGAATGACTAGTCTCTCCTTATGAGCCAGGTTTCTAAGCAACTCCTATATATTATTGTAATGCTAGATGTGACCACTATGTTGGTTCAACGAACTTGTAGCCACTAAATGTGATCTTTATGTTGGTTTAACAAAACTCGCACGGCTAAGTTACTTGTTCTTTTGAGTAGATGTACTAGTATAGTCTGCTAATATAACCTTGTTCGGATTGGTACATAACTAGTTAACTACATAGTATATATAACATATACTTAATTTGGAATAAAACTTAACAATTCATCTTGTCCAGGAAGACTGTAAACAGATGATTTTTTATTTTCCAATCAAGATACACAGTGATTTGTACCTCTGCATGGTCATATACTTCCACGTTTCGATTGAACTTTTATGCTATGTTTCATTTCACTTCCGAGCAACCCTTTTTGACACGAGGCTTCAATAACACTTTGGGGGTGATAAACACGCGCCTCACGTGCGCGCATGGGAAAAACTCAGGAAGCAAAAAAGACCAACGCGCGCGTGTGAAATACAAACCACACATCATCTCACTGACTCACTCTAATCAATCTCTTTGTTCTTCACTAATTTATGTTTTCCACATGTAACCACCGCTCACAGAAATGGGTTGGATCTCGACTTATATCCCTGATCTGTAGTGTCAGTAATAAGGAGATGATTTAGGCTCAGCAACTTAGTGATTACGAGTCTCAATTCATGCAGGTTTTTGTTTTCTCAGTTGCTTTTAGCTCATGCTTTATGTGCTTTTACTTGAACATATGTGTTGGTTTTGTAACGAGCAGAAACGATTGGAAAGCTTATCAGAGCCAGAGCTAGAAGTATTGATGGAACAAGTTGATGAAGAGAAGCAACAGGTTTGAGTAGGCTTCTCTCCATTGTTTCATTCACCTGCAAAATTAGTAGAAGAATCACAGGAACAGGTTTTACAAATGTTGGTTGTATGATACACAACATAATACAAATAAAAAAAATGTTGAAACAATTAAAGAGATGATGATTCAAGAGGTTTTATGTGAGAGCCAAAAAGCAAGAATAAAACAAACTTGTTATCAACTCAAAATGGTAAGATTTAAATGATAATGTCAAAATTTACTATTTTATTTCATTAATGTGAATAACTAAATATTGTAGGTATATTGATTTTCTCATCAAAAAAAGTAACAATGTACGAGCTTTTTAAAGTTTACCTAAAACTCTCTCTGCATATTTTTGGGTATATAAATGTTATGAAAATTCCGTTTACTTATTTCTTCCTATCACAAGAGAAAAAACAAATACAATGATCTTTGATCTGCCACAAGAATTGGTAGAAGAGATACTGTCTAGGGTCCCGGTCACATCTCTAAGAAGGTTAAGATGTACATGCAAAGGATGGTACCATCAAGCTTTATTCAAAATCCAAGATTCATCAAGAAGCACTTTGATAAAACAAGGAGGTACCAATCCCTCATGCTTAATCACAAGGCATGTTCAATGAGTTCCATTCTCCATGGAGCTAACTTCAACGCTGAGACAATACTTGGTGTAGATGGACTTAGCCCGCTAATTGATCCCCATGATAATGAACCAGTCGATGTAACAAAAGCCTTTCACTGCGATGGCTTGTTGCTATGCACCCACCACAAGGCAAACAACCTTGTGGTTTGGAACCCGTTTTTAGGGGCAAACCAGATGGATCCAACCGCAGAAGCATTACAACAGTGAATATGCTATGGGATACAACAACAACGAGTTGTGTCATAACTACAAAATCTTGAGGCTTCCGTGTTACTACGGTCACGGAAAGTTTGGACCATGGAAGAAACTTGATGTCACGACTTTCGAAGGCGACTTAAAATTAGAAATTTATGAGTTTAGCACTAATACATGGAGGGGTGTTGATGATGTCATCACAACCCAATCCTTCTTGCAACCTTGTGGGGTGTCTCTAAAGGGAGATACTTATTGGTTGTTGTCTAATCATAAAGGGTTTGACTACTCATTACTCAGTTTTGATTTTTCTAAAGAAAGATTGCAACGTCTTCGTGTTCCTACCTTTCATAATGAAACATGTGAGTTTGATACTATGGCTCTCTCGGTCGTTAGAGAAGAACATCTTTTGTTGTTATATCAGAGTAGCGATACACAAATGGTGAAAATATGGATAATTAAAGAGATTGAGACCACGTCTGTGTCGTGGAGCATGTTCTTAAAAGTGGATTTAAAACCTCATGTCCATTTTATTTCGGACCCCGTGAGTTTTTTTAACATTGACATCGAGGAGAAAGTTGTTTTGTGTTGTCATGGATTGAGAGATGATGGTGGTCGCTTCTGCATGTTACGGTTGGTTCCTAGTGGCATGGCACGTTGGTATTTGCCAAGTCGCCCCTGGCCTGTTCCAACATTGTTCGGTTATGTTCCAGAAGAGTTAGCATAGTAGTTTCCTTTGCTTCCTTTGTCATGTCCTTCAATTGATGGATGAAATGATCTGTTTTTTTTTTTTGTTTCCAAGATAAAAAAAAGTTTATCTCCTAGACATTATTTATCAATTAATTTTTTGAAACTTGTTTTCTTGGCATTACTACATTCACTATAAATAGAAAGACGTGATTTATTGATAAATCTAGCTTAAAGTTAACTGTGACATAAGCCCTTTCTCAAAAAGAAAAAAGAAGTTAACTGTGACATACTGACATGTATCTTTACATTTATGTAATTTTGTATATAATAATAACTCATATATCATAATTAAAATATAATCAAATATAACACTAAAAATAATGTAGTAATAGAAATATAAAATATTTAATTATTCTAGATGAAAATATTTAGATAAAATTACAGTTTTAAATATATACATATCTACTCATTAAGTGTAAATATAACATAAACAAAATTAATTATTTTAAATTAATTTTATTAAATTAGGGAAAACAAAATGAAAATTAATATTTATAAGATATATTAAAATATTATATGTAATTTATAAAATTATTTTATCTGATAAGAAGTTTATTTGAAAAAACATTTCTAGAAAATGGCCAGCAAACCTCATAGTTTGATTATATGGTATCTTCGATAACAAAGGTTGTCTCTATGCAAGTTTTTAACAGAATCAATCAATTGCAAAGAAAAGAAGGCCAAAGAAATGCAAACACATGTTCAAATAAATAGGATCCAAAGTGGGTTTACAACATAACTTTCATTCAAACCTCGAAACCAAAAGTCAATAGCCTATTGAGATGAAGATGAACCTGTGAAGCAAAAGACAGCTCAGTGTTTGATGACTCTTCTTGGCTCTGAGAAAGGCAAAAAAGTGGTTTTGGGTGAGGCTAGAAGATCCCAGAGGAAATGCTTGACGTGGCGTTTATCTTCAGCGACTGCTCTGGAATGTACCTACGACCTGTCACACAAACACAAGCCCATCTGGTGTTTCAGTCATTAAACAGGAGAACCTAACATTTCATTATTAGGATTCGAAGATTCTACAATGAGCAAGTCCCTAGAGATTTGCCTTGTTCAGTTGTTCATATGAATGTTTTCATAGAAAGGGAGACAGTGTTTATAATCGTTGGTGATGAACTAGAGAGTTTCTTTTGTTTACCTTTCTCCTTGACGTGGATTTGGAGAGTATCAAGAGTGATTATGCCGTCAGTCAAAGGGAGTAACTCTAGCTTGATCGTTGCTGTAGATTTTGAAGGAACGCATCTGATGCATTTAGAAAGTAAAAACCAGGTTATCAACCTAGAATGGTTAAACATTACCAGCAGAGAAAAAAATGAATTGGATGTTATCAAAAAAAAAAAAAAAAAGATCATATTGCTAATTATGTGTTTACCCCAAGGGAACTCGACTTTGTAGCCAGAGATGTGTACAACCCAAGCCACCCTTTGGAACAACATCTGAAGAAGGATTCATTTCATCATTTGTGTTTTCTGTCCTTGTCTCCAGTGGAATTGAAGGTAACGACTGCACTTTACGCGTTGTTGTGTTGCGTTTCTCGGACTGTACCCTCTCTGTGAACTCAGAGAATCCAAGGAATGGGCTAAGAGGGGAGGTAGGCGTAGAGTTTAGGGACACCACAGAGGGAGGTGAAGTGAAGGATGCTGGAGCAAGAACCGTTAAGGACAGATCTTCAGTTGTCAAATTTGATGCCTGAAGAGTTAAAATCTGAAACCAGCAGCAAAACAAAAACAAAAGACCCCATTGGGAACGCCTTCCATCAGTTCAGGCACTGTCACATTTAACTTTTAAAGATAGCCAGAGAGAGAGAGAGAATGACCTGAACAGGTAGCTGGGAGGCCCTCCCATGGGGGCCACAAGGCTCTCCTGACATTTCAGACGCAACAGAGATCATCAGATCCCTCGAAACTCGTGGTCTCCACTTTGTCCGTTGCTTAAAAAACAGCCTTGATTCTGAATCCAACAGCAATAAAAAGTCAATGAAGAAACAGCAGAAAGATTTGAATTAAAGAAAGACAAAAACATGGCTAAAAACCATAGCAGCAGATATCTCTACCTGTGTAGTTGCAGCGACATGACACCATCACCGCATATTGATCACCACTTAAACCACTCCCTAGTCTTTCAAAATTTACAGATGGAAGAGACAAACTCGACGACTTGAGTTCTTTCCTCGCAGCAGATGGCTTCAGATTACTTCCAACAGAAAAAGCAGGTTTCACTATGAATGAGTGCTCCTCACCTTTCCTGAAAGGTTGAAAGAAAACCTAAGGTTAGGTAAGTACACTCTATAATGTTCTTGAAAGTAGCATTTTAGCTTTGGTATTAGTCATCCGCCTAGTATGCTCGTTGATGAGAGTTACTCTCAAAAACCTAAGGGTAGGTAAGTGCACTCTATAATGCTCATTCAACTTTCCTCCTAGTATTCTCGTTGATGAGAGTTACTCACAAAAACTCGCTGGATCTGATAATTAGTTCTACAGCGTTTTGTTCCCTACGCAAGTACCTAATATTACCTAACACAGTTTTTTTGTATACTATTATCACA